CTTTAGTGTTAATTTTAATCTTTAGTGGGCTAACTTTTTTTGCATTAAGGCTTGTTATCAATTTGAGTGGGTGCATAATTATAAATTATTATGGATGCACATTTAAAATTATCTAACAATTAGTTTAATTTTGGAAAAAAAATATGGGTGCAAGTGAACCCTCTCCCGCGTGAGTAGCTTCGCCCCTGTCTGACTTAGCTTGATGTTCCAAGCTCTTGGGGCTTGTTTCAACCATAGAGAGCTTTATGTAACTTATATACCTTATGTTCACTTCCTTTTACCTTAAATCCTTCAGATTGTGAGACAATACTTCTTCTTTCAATTCACCATGGAGAAACACGGTTTATACATCAATATGATGTATCTCCCAGTTTTTAGACGCAGCAAGAGCTATGATCACACGTACAGTTTCTATCCTTGCCACAAGAGAAAATACTACCTCAAAGTCGACACCGTGGCATTGTACATAGCCTTTCGCTACAAGTCTAGCTTTGAACATGTTTATACTTCCATCTGCATTACGCTTTATCTTGAAAACCCACTTCAACCCAATTGCCTTGCATCCGATTGGTAACCCCACAAGTGTCCACGATTTATTTCTTTTGATCAAAGTTAACTCATTTTCACATGTATCCCTCCACAATTTCTGAGATTTTGCCTCATTCCAGTCCCATGGTTCTTCGCTGATAAGAAGAAGTAGTCGTTCTGTCTCCATTACGTCAGACAACAAGACAAAGTCGTCTAAGTAACTAGGTCTTGTAGTCTGTCTCATAGATCTTCTCAAGATTGGTTGATCCTCTGTTTCATATTAATCTTCAATATAACTAACAACTTTTTTTCTTCTTCACCGCTATCATTGTTTTTCTCTCTATGGACTGTATCATCTTCCTTTATCACCCTGCAACGGAAACATGATCATAGTAGGTTCGTGGGAATCCTTTTCAGTTGTATTCCACTTCCATCTTCTGTTTTCATCGAAGAAGACCACATCTCTACTTATTACTACTCTTCCGTTTGTTGGATCATATAGGTGATACACCTTTGAACCTGATTGAATTCCTAGGTGTATGATATATGGTGTTTTTAGCACTATTGTATGTTTTCTAACTAGTTTTCAGTGTTTTATTGAGCCAGTCTAGTTGTTCTGAAGTCAATTCAGGTCATCTCGAAGGCTATGGAGCTGAAGGAAGGTGCATGAAGAAAGATGTAAGAATCAGGGTCTTGTCACACGGAGCAATCATACGGAGCAGTCAGATGCTTGCTCCCTAGCTCGAGCAATCCATGCGGAGCAATCAGAAGACTGCTCCCGATATGTACGGAAACTTCAGTATTTTTTGAAGACGAACCCTAGTCTCTTCCCCTCTCTGGAACCCGAGGGCGCCTCCTTATAAAAAGCTCTCTTTAAATTTTTTATTTTTCTTACGCTAGTTTTGCAAGAGACATAGACATATTCGGCGATTTGCTATTGTAAGGGAGACGGCTACTCTTCTCGACAAGAAGATCATCCTGAACTCTATCTATTTCTCTTTGGAACTTTATGCAGTATCATTCAGTTATTATGTCATTGTCATCTTGTTCCATGGCTGAGTATTCGCTGGCTTGTCTAGGGTTCTAGGATGTTAGTCGCTTGAGCTAAACATAGATAAGCAATCATATTGTATTTTTATTCATCTAGTTCTTAGTGCTTGCTGTAACCTGATCACTTATCGTTAGATCTAGGGTTGTTCTACTCATTAACCGTGTAGTGGATAACTTGATTGTTGGGTGAATGAGTCTAGCATCCCCAGTCAGCGAGAGCAGATACTGGGGTACTAGATGAACCTATTGGACTTGACATATATTTCTTGTTATCGGATCTGAACCCAATCGAGAGTTTAGGTGTTCAGACCGAACAGCAAAGAGAGCAGTACCACGACAGTGGACTGTTCTACATGTGTGCTCCTAGTTCTAGATTGTGCTATTTTGTGCTTGAATAATTGTTTGGCTCAGCTTTAACATCCGATGAGAAACCCTAGACCAGCTTTTTTAAATCTTGAATTCATAATTTGCAATTGTTATTTTATTTGCTTGCTACAAACCAATCTATAATTACCTTGAGTTTTAGCTTGGTAGAAAACTAATAGAATTAAAGTGTGAACTGGTCCTCTGGATTGAATCATAAATACTACAATTATCACTATTAACTTGACAGTAGGAAAGGTTCAGTTTTAGTGTATCAGTGTACCAACGCTCTTGATCTGTCCTCTAACTTCCGAAGATGTGAAGCATCATTCTTAGCATAACAAACGCAACCAAATATGCGCCAGTGTTCGACATTGGGTTTCTTCTTCTCAAGACTTTCATATGTTGTCTGCAATTTCAGAGTTCGTGTTGCGACTATATTAATGAGATATGTCAAATGTCTTACCGCCTCTAGCCCCACAAGTAGTTTGACATACTCATATGTTTCATAATACTTCAAGTCATCTCCTCACCGACTCCATTCTTCTGCAGTGAATATGGTGCAGTTAACTGGTGTTTTATACCATGCTGATCACAGAAGACTTGAAATTCTTGAGACGTGAATTCACCACCGCTATCAGTACGAACGGTTTTGATGGTGTTTCCAGTTTCTTGCTCAACAAGCTTCTTCAACTTCTTAAATTTCTCGAATGCTTCGCCTTTATCCCTCAACAAGATTGACCACATATAACGCGTATGATCATCAATCAGTACAAATATGTACCTGTTTTGTGCTGCTATTGATGGTGAGATTGGTCCACAGAGGTCTCCATGAAAAAGGTCAAGGGTCTCCAAAGCTCGATACACTGTTGACTTTGGGAAGCTTGTACGTGTTTGTTTCCACAATAAACATGTTGCACAAGTCTCCTTCTTCATCATGGATTGCATGGTTTCTCGGCCTACATGCCCAAGTCTGGCATGCCAAGTAGTTGAGTCATCCAACTTAGCAAGCTGAAAACACTTAGTATTATCAACTTCCATAATAACTTTATACAAGTGATTCTTGAACCTGAATGCTTTCACCAGTAAGTTCCCATAGCGATAATAAAGTGTGAGAAAGTCTTCCTTCATCCGTACATCATAACCAGCCTCTGTAACTTGACCAAGGCTGATGATATTACCCTTTAGATCCTGGATAAAATATACATCAGTCATGATTTTATTCTTTCCATGCTTGGTTATGAAAAGAATTGAACCCTTTCCTTTGTTGTCTATGCAGTAATCCTCCCCAAAACTTACTTTTCATGTGATCTTTTGATCAAAGCAATCTTGGTTACCTGACATGTGGTTGTTTGCTCCATTTTCTAGGTACCAGATGTTGTCTTTATCCGTGTGTGCTTCGAACTTGCTTGGTGTCACATTCTCCTCAATCAAGTAAGCAACCTTATTCATTATCAGTTCTTCAGCTTCATGTGTACTATCATCTTCATTCTCATGTGTTTCTTGAAGCTTAAGTAACCAGTCTGGACACATGTAAGCATAGTGACAAGTTTTATCACATCAAAAACATACTACACGTGATGTATCTCTTCCTTGCTTCCAGTCTTTATGATTATTGTATCTCCCACGACCTCTTCCTCTATTACCAAACCGTCCACCTCGTCCTCTATTCTATTGTAAGCTTCTTATGTGTTTGTGAATCAATATTGGCATACATAAGTTTCTCTTGATGCTCATCTTCATCGTCAGCTTGAATCCTCTTCTCATAGGCTTTCAATCTTCCAACAATGTCTGCAAAGCTTGTTGTATTCAAGTCTAAAACTTGTTCGAATGCAGCTATCATGGTGATGTATTTTGTCTTTGGAAGACTGTTCAGAAACTTCTTTACAAGTTTAGGTTTGGCAATAGTTTCTCCTAGAGGTGTTGATTTGGAAGAGATGTCTGATAGTCTTCCTGAGAATACATCAATTATATATGTTTCTTTCATCTTTAGTCTTCCAAATTCGTCCATGAGAGTTTGTAGTCTTGCCTCACGGACTCTTTCAG